GAATACTTTCTCGACAAAAAGGAGTGAAAGATGTCCACATTTGATAGCTCAATTAAGCAAAATTGGGCATCTAACAAAGAACATCAGTGTGCATCATATCTAATGAAAACATTTACAATAAAACACTCAATAAGTGCTAATAATATAAACAAAACTAGAAAAATGATAGCAGACAGATACAAGAGATGCATTTTCGGACAAGTTCATACAGACTCTGGAGATGTATCACAAAATAAAGTGCCCGTTGTTTAAACTTAAAACAAGATTAATGTTGGTAATAAGGCTTAAAATAATTGATCTTTACCTGAAATTTCAGCTTCTTTTGCTCCCTTTAATGTGATGAAACACAAGATTGAAGATTTGGAGTGAAAATGTGGATTGAGAATGGAAGAGGTTTTGGTAAGGGTTTGGAGTAGAAAACAAGTATGGTTGTGTGATCATGCAAGTCAGTGTTTTATCAAATTACTTTAGAGATGCATCTCCAAAAATATCTAACATGCAAAGTTGATAGAAATTTCAAAATCTTGCCCCAAACGTCCATAGATGCATCTCCGTTAAATCCACTAGACTGCTCAAATATAAACATGTTTGTTGAAAATACCTGGAGATGCATCTCTGGACTATTTTTTTGTGTTAATATGGGGTGGCATTCGTTTGGTGCATCATAAAAGTGGTGCATATTGTGTGGAGATACATCTCCAAAATCTGAGGGGTATTTTTGATTTTTTCTAGTGTTTTTTTCACCCTATAGGATTGGATAAAAAATTCTCATATTTTAATTTTTGTTAGAATTCAATAGTTAACTTGTTTAAATAAAAGAAAGAAATTAAATCTAGCGGACTTTGCTCAAGAGATCCTAATAGGACCCATTAAGAGAAAAAGACCCAAATGGATATGAGAAGTTAATTAGAGATAGTGGGGAAGTTACACGTGAGTTGGTTAAAGGGAGTGGGAAAGTTACATGTGAAGGGAATATATAAGGTTAGTAGGGAAAAATAGTGGATTATACAATATCATTTGTAATAGAACCTTAGGGTTTGGCAAATAGAGAATCTCTTCTTCCCTTGAGAAGCTTTGCTCTGGGATTATAGGGAATTTATTCTCTGTAATAGTTTATTTTTATCATTAATAATACTTTTCTCTTATCTCTTGAATTGGTTCCTAACAATGGTCCGACCTACTAAATCTATCGAGGAATAGTCAATGATGTCAAAGAAGTTGCTTCCCATTTTTATGGAACTGGAGATAGTTACAGGTGGTTGATCCAATTGGATCAATACTTTGAAAGTATATTGGATCGCTCTGTTTGCTTTGAGAGGAGAAACTTCCTTATGGTGGTCTTCTTGAAAGCAAGATAACCATAATGCAACTTGAAAGAATTTTGAAAGGAGTTTTATTAAGAAATGTATCCCAGACCCATGGGATATGCTTGAAGTTGCAGAAGGTGAGGAACAAGAAAGTGATGATCACATCATAAATGAGATGACAAAAAGCAATAAACAGTCAAAGAATTATTGTGATAGACCAGTAATAAAGGAAGTCGATATGTTGGTCGACATATGGAATGAAGAAAAGGAGATCATGGCACATACTGATAACAATAGAGAAAATGACATCAAAGGATTAGCACCTGAAATTAGGAAGATGCAGGAACCATCACAACCAATGGTGAAATCCCCCTATACAAGTATCATAGGTAGCAGGGCTTTGAAAGAATTCAAAATGTGTGTTGAATCGGGAAATTCGAAGAATATAACAATACCAAGCTCAATGGTAAAAAGACAATGTGCACATAAATCAGACTTGCGACCACCATCGAAACATTCGTACGTCGGTCGACTCGTGACGATATTACCATTGCGAGCTCTGGAACCCACACCGATCAAAACAGACTCAAGATGGACGACACACTCTTCAATGACGAAACTGTCAGAGTCGCCATATTTTGAACGGAATGTGAAAGTTCCAACACAACAAGAACTGTGGGCTAATGAGTATTTTGTTTCATCCACAAATATGACGACAACAGAAAAATCAATCTCAGATAAGTGGATGGATTACATGGTTGTTTTACTTGAAAATTTTTGGTCCTCAAGCATTTGGGTGGTTGCTTAATTTGGTATACGATAGAGGAAAGTTTTGGTCCTCAAGTTTTGGGTTGTGATGGATGTTCAATCTCACTATTTTTAATGGTTTGATTTTCATTTGTTTCTTAAGCAAACTGAAGAGTCACTTCCAATTTTGAGGATAAAGTTGTTTATAAGAGGGTGACATTAATAAGACCCGTTAAGAGAAAGAGGTCCAAAATGGAAAGGGAGAGTTGGTTAGCGATAGTGAAAAAATTACACGTGAATTGATTAAAGGGAGTGGGGAAGTTAAATGTGAATGGAGCGTATAAGGTTAGTGAGAAAAAATAGTGAAGTATACTATATCATTTGTAATAGAACCTTAGAATTTGACTAAGAGAATATATCTTCTTCCTATGAAGAACTTTGCTTTGAGATTATAGAAAATTTACTCTGTAATAATTTCTTTTTATCATTAATAATACTTTTCTCTTATCTTTTGAATCAGTTCCTACCAGTCCCAGATCCATATAATAAAATAAAACTAATTAAAAACAAATTAAAACTAACTTAGCATAGCATAAAATAAAATAAAAAATGATTTGATCTATTATTTGCAACAATTGCAACAAGTAAGAAAGATTCGTTTCCAATTGCTATGTTGCAGTTGGAGGATACCGGTTAGCTACTAAAGCTCAAAAAGTTGTTTTGTATGGTGGCCCAACTTAACAGTTATATTCAAATTATAAGTCTACTCTTTATTAGTAAATGTTTTTAAGAAGAAAGATGCGATAAGTTTTTAATTGAAAGGAATGACTCAATTCCACATTTGCAAAAGCTCTGTCCTATAATTTTCTGCATAGCCTTGTCTAGTTACTTGATATTAATGGCAATGTTGTTAGAGCATACAATTTCAATGGTGTGAAATTTAAGCTTATAGATCGAAGTATTGAAGCCAATAAATTGTAGAAAAAAGCATAAATCTTCAAATGAAATCGATTTTTAAACATTCCAATTTGTTTCACTTTAAGCGGTCATACTTTGAAATGTAAATTCCTGTAAAAGTCATTCAAAAATTCTAGCAAAAGGATTGGAAGACAGTAAATAAAAAGTATCTGTTGATGTCCTTCAAGGAAGAGTTGTCAAATGTTAGGGACATGTCATTCAAGAACATTTCTCCCAACTGTAAGATAGCAGAAAATAAGGGTTGTTAAAATTCTGTTCTGCAATAGTATTATAGTGGCTATTTGACAACATTTGGTTACTAAATAGCATAAACAATGGATATTTGTTAAAATTCTGCTATACAATAACTATTGTGTATCACAAAATCACAAAAAACAACGGGAATTTGTCAAAATTTTGCTACTCTATGGCTGTATAGCTCCACTATACAAGCTTTTTAACAAGCTTGATTTCAAGGACACTAGCACCATGGTAGATCATGCAAACAGAGCAACTTAACTAGATAGATAACATTGGACCATGCACACAGAGCAACTTAACTAGATCGAGAAGATTGGAAAAAATTTATCACCTTTTAATCCCATACAAAAATGCAAACCCTCATTTAATGTGTAGTTTTCACAATATCATATCTATCTTCCATTCAAACTTCCAATATCCATGATACCTCTCTAAGACAGCTGACATATATACTATCAATTGCCAGTGTCCTCTATTTTCCAATTTCTGTCCTCTTGCTGAAGGTCTGGATTTGGATTGGGATTGGGATTAGTTTTAAAAAAAGATTGGTTAGGATCATAGGCTGCTTTATATAATATTCAGCATTCATCAATACCACTATATATGTTGAAACACAAAATTGCTCAAAGATTTAAAAAGCAACAGATAATATATAGCATCCACAAAGCGATCACAGATCTATTTCCCCATATTCAACTAAAAGAAAACAATTGATTAGAGCATATGTATATCACAATGAAAGCGATCACAGGTCAAATTTCATACAAGAAAATATGGAAAATATGCTAATTTAATCGTAGAGATCTACTCTGCTTCCTTGGAACAGCTGGAGAGCATCTCTTAAGCCATTTATTCTCTTCACAAACACGCTGATAAAACAACCTACATTTGGAAACATAAAAGTCATGAACAGATTGGTAATTCCATACATAAAGAAAATCAAGCATGGAGCATAAAGCACTTGCTAGCATCTTTTGTAAAATAAAAGTTCAGAAACATGATTCTCAGAGCAAGGAAGTATCCTAATATTGTCCTCAAATCGTATAAGACCTAAACCGAAAATCTGGGTACTGTTTTGTTGTTTAGGTTTTGTTACCGGTTTCAAACACTCAGATACCCTTTCTCCCTCACTACCTCTGGCTTTTCTTCTTCTAACTTTCTTCACCATAGTCTTTACTCACTCTAACTCTCATAGCCTCCATTTCCTCTTCCATCGCAAATTTCGCCTCACCTCTCCGACTCCACTTAACCAAACCCCTCATCCTCCAATTCTACCACCAAAGCCATATCTTTTACAAAGATCATCGCCCAAATTCCCTCATCTTTGGTCTCACTGAAAGAGTGAATTGGATCATCTCTACATAAGCTTAAGACACCAAATGTAGGTTGATAATTCCATTTCACCCAAATTATTCATTTTTTCATTAATTTGATTTTATCTCTTTTCTATGTAAAACAACACTACCAAAATTTTCGTAATTTCTTTTGATGGATCTATTTATGATTGTTTAATGACTTTTGTTTAGCTTGTTTCTGAAATCAATTGATTCGGTAAACATAAGGATAAACCGGTTTTGAGTCAGATTTAAACTGATTTTGAACTCTTTCACAATAGATTAGGTTAAATCACCCCCATAAACACCCTATCTCGATGCATCACAGTATGAATTAGTCAAATTAACATATAAATCTACATGATTAAAATTCGTTAGGGTTTGGTACCTGTGATTAATTAGAAGAAGCTTGATCAACGAGCTTCTTGTCCCTTCGTTCCATGGCGACATCCCACAAGTCGTTACCGATGTGTTTAGGTCGGCCGTGAGCAGCTCTGTGGATGTAATATTGAGCATTTCCGGCAACACAGAGCATTCCGGCAATGATTCCGAGAGGAAGTACAGCTTCCAACCAATGCAACGCCATTTTTCTTTCTTCCTTTCAATTTCTCAACCTCTTAATCTTCTTCGGGATAAATATAACTTTTCTAACTTAATGGGCCTAAACACTATTGATGCCAGACCATAACTAGACTCTGTACACGTACACCCCCAGTTTCTCTAACAATAAACAAGTACTATTAATGTCTTATCAATTTAGTCTTTAAACTATTAAAATCAATTTAAAAATTAAAATAATATTTATTTAAATATTTAATATCTATATTAAATTATTATAAAAAATAAATAGTTGAAAAAAATAATTTTGTAATTAATTATAATAACTTTTTATATATAATTAATTTTAATAATTTAAAGACCTAATTGATGAAATATTTGTTTATTCATTCTCTAAATAAGCTAAAGAATTTTTTTTTTCCAATCTTTGGGATGTTTCTCAAGTTTAAATTATTAGCCCCTTTATAATATTGAAACTTTTGTAATTTTTTTAAATTTATTTAATTACTATTAATAATAATAGTCTTTTTAAATCAATTTTGTTTTATTATTAAAATCAACACTATTAATTGTTTTTTATAAAAATTATATACAGTACAAATGAATTACAAAATGAGACTAATGGAGTAGTAAGTAAATACTTAGGAATTATGATCAATGATTTTCAAATTTATTGTTAACTAAGTAATAGATAGTCAATATTAAGGCTTAATTGTAACTTTGCTCCCTCTATTTTGTATTTTTTTGAGTTTTGATCCCTCCATTTTAAAATTATGATTTTGATCCTTTTTTAGGTTTCGAGATTGATATTAGTCCTCTTTCCATTTTAAGTCATGTTTTTAATGATGTGGCGCGTCGAATGATGATGTGGAATTTCCATGTCATTTAAAATGGTCTTATTAATTTTAATATCATTTCCATGTCATTTAGGTTTTTTTTATTTCATTTTCAGAAAATTAATAAAACCTAAATGTAAAACCTCAACGCTTTCATCTTAAACCCATTTCTTCAACCATTCATTTTTGTCATTTCTATTTCATTTTTCACGAAGAACAACTCATTTCTTCAGCTATTTCTGTAGCCATTTCTTCAAACTCAGCCCTCCTTTCCTCAACAAACTCATATCAGTCCTTCTGTAGCCATTAATTTCGAACCCAATGTGCCTCCGAAACGAATTTTTCTTTTTCCTCAACAAACCAGTCCAGGTCTGGTATAAGAAGAAGAGGTAATAAATGTTGGTGTGAGCTTGAGTCACCGTTGATGATGTCATGGACATACGATAATCCCGAAAGAATATTTCATGGTTGTGGTAATTTTAAGGTGATGATAAAAAAGGATGTAATTACGTTCAGTGGGTTGATGAAGACATGAGCAGTCGTGCTAAAGATGTGATAAGATCTTTGAAAGACAAGAATGAGGAGCTTATGGATGTGATTAAGGACATCAAGAAAACTGAAGATTTGTTGAAGATGAAAATTAAGTTTATGTATTATTTTGTGGGGTTATCTTTGATGTTTGTCTTTTTAATTGTGTTTGCATTAGTTGCAACACATGTACTCAAATGATGTAATGTCAAATGTTGTAGTTACTTTGATGTTTATGTAGTTTTCAAATGAAGTAATTTTAAATGAAGAGTTATGATTGTCTGTGTTAATAAAGTAGCAGCATAATATTGTAGTAGCATAACCTTGTATTCTGCATCATAATATTAAAGTAGCAACATAATATTGTAGTAGCATAACCTTGTATTATGCAGCATAATATTAAAGCAGCTGCATAATATTTCAAATGAAGAGCAGCATAACCTTGTTTATGTATTTGCAAATGAAGTAATTTAAAATTGAGAGCTACTCTGTGTATTTTCAAATGAAGAGTTACTTTGTGCAACATAACATTGCAATAACACTCAAACTGATACTTTATGTATTTTCAAATGAAGAGTTACTTTGAGTAACATGGTTTATTTCAAATGTTAAAGAAGGAATGAAACTGAAGTAGCATTGATGTATCATAACAGGCAGGCAACATTACTTTGAATACTGATAGGCAGGCAACATTACTTTGAAGGTTGATGTATCATTACAGCACTACATAACAGGGAGGCAACATTACTTTGAAGGCTGATGTATAAACAACACTGCATTCTAATAGTAAACTGATGTATAAACAACACTACATTGTAATAATAAACTGATGTTTAACATTGAAGGCTGATGTATAAACAACATTGTATTCTAATAATAAATTGATGTATAAACAACATTGCATTGTAACTTTACATATCAAACAACAACATTACATAACAACACTACATAACATAACATTGAAGGCTGATGTATCAAGAATGATGTATCATTACATTGAAGGTAACATTACATAACAGCACTGCATTGTAACTTTACATAGCAGGCAGCATTAAAGACAACATATTTTGACAAAAAGACCTTGAGTTTTTTGGTCATAACATATGCTATAGCATCATCACAAAAACTAAAGTAAAACATAGAACTATTCTTGGGTTGGTGGCGGTGCTTGCGACCCTCCGTCTATAACAGTTTGTCCCACTTCCTTTCCCAACTTGTCACCCTTTTTTTAGGTTTTTTGTTGCCACCTTTAGGAATCGCTCTCTCCGCAGCTCGCTTCCCTTTACACGTTCGTTTGTTATGGCCAAAACTCCCACATTTCTTGCACTTGACACTTTGAAGAGTTCTAGGCAGTGTATTTCTTATCCTTGGTTCATCATTCGCCTTGTTACGATTCTTCTTAGGACGACCGATAGATCTTTACATGACTGGAGGGCTGATTGGGTTAGCAACACTAATAGGCCATAGTTGTGGGTCATTGGTTGGCATAATAATATGACTATAAGTATCCAGAACAGTAGATTTCCTAGACAATATGACACAATGATTTTAGTAAACGTACAAAAAAGATGAATGTAAATGAACATAATATACGAGTAGGTGATACCTATAGAGTGATGAAACATACTCTTCGGGCTCCTTCTTGTTATACCATATGCATGCAATAGCATGACAACATGGTATTCCATTTAAATTCCACTTCCTACAACCATATTTCTTTTGAAGCAAGTTCATAACATATGTCTCAACACCGTTTGAAACTCCGAATATAGCAAAGTCACCATCTGCATGCCATGTTACAATCCATCCTTTTGCTGACCTCTTTGTTTTTTCCAAGACTTTTTGAATGTTAGAACTTGTAACACCTGTGTACCTACTTAATTTCTCCTTTTGAGCAGAGATTCTCATTGTTATGTAATGTTTGACTCCTTCAAGTAGTGAAATGATCGACTTATCTATATACTCCAAGATTGCGCGATTAAAAGCCTCACACATATTGTTGGCTTGCAAATCACATTGTGTGTCTGTTTTGAAATGAGACCGAGTCTAACATGCAGCTGGGAAATCCATCATGTCTTTCCAAGCATTGACATTGAGCTCTTTCATATGATTCATTGCTCTTTCCCATGCAGGAATTGTTGTGGCTCTAGCTGCCCGCCATAAAGCCTCCTTCATAAATATCCCATGATATTTCTTTCTCTAATTTTCATATAAGTATTTAACACATAGTCTGTGTTCAACATGTTGGCTTGTCTCAAGAATAACCGGTACCAATCCCTGAACATACATCAGCATTGTAACAACACACATCAACTAGAAATAACATCACATAACAACACATCATAGCAACATATATCAACTAGAAATAACAACACATATCAACTAGAAATAGCAGGACATCAAACAGAAGTACATAACAACACATATCAAACAACAGTAGCACATATCAAACAGCAGTAGCAACACATCAAGCAGCAGTACATAACAACACATATCAAACACATCAAACAACAGTACATAACATCATTGTAAAAGCACATAACACATATAACAAATAGCAGCATTGTAAAACTAACCTTCTATTGATCTGATATAAATCTATATTTGTTGTCTTGTATAGATTGCAAGTCTTCTAGTAACAAATTAAGGAACCATTTTCAAGAGTCTTTCGTTTCAGCTTCCAGGATAAGCGATTGGATAAATCTTGTTATTTCCATCCTTACCAACAACACCTATTAACTGACCTCCAAAGCCCCCTTTAAGAAAACAAGCATCCAGTCCTATTAGAGGCCTACAAGTCGTTGCAAACGCTGCCTTACAAGCTTCTAAGCATACATATATTCTTTCAAAGACAAGACCACCATCTGAATCAGCACACTTAATTTTAACAGCGGCGTTTGGATTTGACTTTAACAACTCCTCACCATAGCTTCTAAGGTGTGTGAATTGTTCACGACCAGCACCTTGAATCAATTCCATTGCCTTTTTTTTGGCTCTATAAGCTTGATCCTTTGACAACTTCACCCTACACTTCTTAATAGCTTCTGCAATCAGCCCTTTGGTTTTTATTTCAAGAGTGTGTCTTATACTGTACACAAATTGGTGACCCAACCAATCTGTTAAGCTAACAAGTTGCCAATATTGATTGGTAGTCCTCATGCTAAACCTAATATGAAATGGACAACCATCTAAACACTTGACAATCATTCTCTTCTTGTCATTTTTCTTGAATACAAGATTCATTTTGTTCTCCATTGCATACTCCTTTATGGTATTGATCAGTGCATCTTTATGCACATTCTCCTATATTTTTACTTAGGAATTTCTTTACTTTATTTTGATTATTCTTATGTTTTATTATGTTTTTATATTTTATTTTATTTTTGGTTTAATTTGATTTTCGCACTTTATTTTTCAGCTTTAGCAATTTGCACGAAAACGATCATAACTGGAGTTTCGAGAATCCGTTTGAGGCATTCTAATAATTTTCGGAAAGCTAGGAGAGAGATCTACGACTTTCGTGTTAGAGTTGAAGTCAGATACGGAGCATATTTTTCCAGAATTTCGTTTGAACCTGCAACATTAGTTTTATTAAGTTTTGGGTATGGGTTATGTTTATTTGACCCAGTTGGGTTATGACCCAAATTCTCTTTTGTCTCCTCTTTAGTCTAGGTCTGACCGTACAACCTAGGATCTCATAGACTATTCACAAAAATATTTGGGAAGCTTGTAAAACTCATGGAGAACTAACTTCTTTACGTGAATCTGCTGTAATCGGTTTCCGCCGACACTTTGAGGTTCTTTTAATTTCCCATAAAATCTATTTCCTTTCGATTCTTCTCTATGATATCTTGTTTGCTTAATTCGATTTATATTAGAGATGGTTTATTTATTTCGATGATTGCATGTTCTTATACTTTAATCGCATTTGCTTAATTCGCGTATGTTTCTCGTGTTTGCTTAATTCACGGTTACTATATTTTATATGTTTGCTTAATTCGAAAATTAGGAATATGTATCGTATAATATCAATTGCGCTTGTTTGATTGTCATTATAATCTAAAAGGGGATATAATCCGCTTAGGAATTGGGAATTATTGGGATCGATGATAAGTTGGAAAACTAAAACAACAGATTAACTGTTTCAGCTTATTTTAATAATCACTTATTTTCAGTTTTTTTTTCTCTTAATAAAAATTCAAACCCCCATAAACTATTACTTTATTAGTCAATCACTACAAGAATCCTTGCGATACGACTCGAGTCATTGTCGCTAAACTACTCGTTTTGATCCGCGCGCGACAACGGATCAGGCATCTTTGATTTGTTGTTTATCCTTGAACATCATCCCTACTTAAAGTTTTGTGGGTTCCCTAAAGATTGGAAACTTTCCCATATCACCTTCAGCATCACTACTAGGTGGAGTTTGAAACACATCTGAATGACTACCATTATCGGAATTACCATCCAACTTTGAAGGTTTTTCTGCCGTAGCATTAGGTAAAACGGTCTTCCAATTAATACCAACGTCATCACCTAAATTCATCACATCAATTTCATATTCCAAATCTCCATCCTCTTCCTCGTCATCCTCATTGCCCATGCTATAATCTGGATCTGTTTCACTCTCATCATCTACGTCATCAACATTAACGTTAACCTCTTCATCTACTTCATCGACGGTAACCTCTTCATCTACTCCATCGACACTAACCTCTTCATCTACTCCATCAACACTAACCTCTTCATCGTTTTCTCCCTCGACATTAACTTCATCGTTTGCTCCCTCAACATTAACTTCATCATTTGCTCCCTCGACATCAATATTAACTTCATCGTTTGCTCCCTCGACATTAACTTCATCGTTTGCTCCCTCAACATTAACTTCATCATTTTCTCCCTCAACATTAACTTAATCATTTGCTCCCTCGATATTTACTTCATCATTTTCTCCCTCGACATTAACTTCACCATTTCCTCCCTCGACATCACTTCATCATTTGCTCCCTCGACATTAACTTCACCGTTTGCTCCTTCACCATTGACTTTTTCACCATTATCCTTCTCAAAAATAACATCATCCATACTTATTTCTTCAATTTTGTGTTCAACATAAAGATCAACTATCTTAAATCCTCTAACATCCTCCATTAATCTTAAGACATCATTATCATTGTTGAGAGGCTGAAGTCCACGAGAAAAGGAAAATTTAGGATTCCAATATCATAAACACTTTATATTACGATACCACTCACTCTTGATCAAAACTTCAATTTGCATGTAGGACATCAAGTCCACATCCCAATGCCAATTCATTTCAGTTACAAGCCCACCAACATACAACAGAACTGTATTTTGAATTAAATGTCCCCTATGGTGTACTTTAAATCTGACAGTTTGGGTATTAGAGGGCCTACAAAACACAAACGACAGTTTCTGAATTAAAACATAGATACAACCGGGAGTTGGTATAAACAAATCATATGCTCTGACAGAACACAAACACCATTTGCGTGTTTAGGGTTTTTGTATTCAGAGGTGAGTTACGAAACATACCTCGACACGTAACTTCGGTTTGCCATTTCAGAGACGACGGGAAGCGAGTTGCGGTTTGATTTGAAGCGAACTGCGGTTTGATATAGAATCTTTAATTACATGCGTGAAAGGGGAAGACCAAGAATCTTCATTCCTGAACTGGATTTGAAGAAATGAGTTAAAGATGAAAGCGTTGGGGTTTTACATTTAGGTTTTATTGATTTTCTGAAAATGAAATTAAAAAAAAAAACCTAAATGACAAGGAAATGATATTAAAATTAATAAGACCATTTTAAATGACATGGAAATGCCACATCATCATTCAAGGCGCCACATCATTAAAAACATGGCTTAAAATGACAAAGGGACTAATATCAATCTTAAAACCTAAAAAAGAGATCAAAATCATGATTTTTAAAGTGGGGGGATCCAAACCCAAAAAACACAAAATAGGGAAACCAAAGTTGCAATTAAGCCTAATATTAATAATGTAACAACTTGTAATATTCAATAACCATCTAATTTCTTTTTACCGTTTGACGAAATAACAAACTTAACAACATAGGTGCATTGTCTATTAAAATAGAATTTTTGGACTCAATCACCATAGGTGCATTGTCTATTAAAATAGAATTTTTGGACTCAATCACTATTTAATTAATCATATAATTAAACAAAGTTAACTTCTTAATCAAAAATGCAAGGAGTTGGAAGAGTTATTGGCCTACAGAATACTAAAGGTGTGAAGTTTGAGATTTCTTACACCTACTCAGGTATGCAAGCATGGGGATTCTGTTATAGTGATACCGTTTTATATTGATTTTCACATTAAAAAGCTCTAATAGTATATTGGGTTCTCATTAGCCTCAATCACTCGTGTATAACAGAGCCTTAATTTTGCAAGAGGACATTCAGATACAACCTCACAACATTTTACAGTCGATATAGATTACTCAAAATTCCATCACTACTAAACAAAATATCAGAGCTAGAACTTGCAAAAGAAAAGAAAAAAACAAACGTAACATGTAACATAAATTGCCACGGCAGAAGTTTACAATTCTGTTTGCCATCATTTATTTTTGCATTCACATTGAGCAATCTTGCACAGATTTGTGATAGTTGTGAAATCTATTAGTGTAACCTTTGCATTAACAACAAACAGATATGCCAAATCTTGTCCCAAATCAAAAGATTTGCAATGAAAAACATAAAATATGAGAAATTAACTCCAGCCAAAATTCATTCATAATGTTATGACAAAAGGATTACAGTAATAACTTTAGTACAAAACTCTGTTGCTAATATATATTGTGAAAGGAATTGAAATCTAACTTCTAGGAATGACACTTTATATATCGAGCAGAAACTCTCTCACTAAATTTTGATATTGAAATATTCCTAAATTTTGATATTGAAATATTCCTGGTCAAAGTGATGTAATCGTACATATCCATCTTCACCTCCACTTGAAAAACTACAAAACAAAAAGAATGAGTGATAAATAGAAGAAACAGTTCATCAGCTAACTTCTATTCAGGACTTTTATCACAAATGTAAATTGTTAAGACAAAAACATTGATTGTTTTAAAAATAAACTACAAATATTTGTATAGTATAACGTCTCAAATCCAAGTGTCATGGGAATAAAAGAAATGTTAGGATGTAATTGTACCTAAACAGTAAAATATACCACCAGGATGCAACAAGGTGAAAAACAAAGGATGTACCTTTTTCCATCAGGGTTAAAGGCCAGTGCATTAATCGGTCCGAAATGCCCTTTCACACCCCCAATTTCTTCTTGAAGAATCTAAATAAACGAAAAAATAACAAATATGAATATTAGAAGCCTTAGAAAACTTGAAATGGTATTGGAAGGAAAAACCAAATCTACCTTATCGTAGAACTTGGCTTCAAATTTGCCAGCGCGATGATCAGTAGTTGTAACAGCTGATGCATCCTGACCACCTCCAAGAACCACCTACAAAAGAACACAGGGTAAGGAATAGGGAAAACCATACAATAACTGGAATAATATTCCTGAATAAATGAAAGAACACTACAAAATAAATAAGTTTTTCATGCAAACTATCAGGAAGGAACTATTTAGAGGTGTATTTCTTTCATGAATTACTAGTAAGCAACTCAGACATGTATAAAAGAATTTAGTAGTTTATGGAGAGAAAATTCACACCAAAAAAGAAAAAGGGATAGGATATTAGGAAAACTTTTAACCAGCTTCCTAAAATCATAGGACACTTTTATGCAAGGAGTCAAGGAAGACATAAGGTAATTAATCAAATAAAGATAAACCAGTATTTCTTGCATATGTTACCAAGACTATTAATATGTATACCATGACATGACATAAATTAGATTAAGTCATTGACAATACTCAAAAACATACATGATCAAGGAGAGGCGACATTGCAACTGCATTGACAGGGCGTTCTGTCACATATGTCTTGATTAGAGATAATGTTCTGCTATCCCAAATCTAATTAATAGCCAGAAGATATCCATAAATATTGCAAAAAAGAAAAGAAACTGGTTAGGTGAACTGCAATAATATCATGATAAAAAATTAATTGAAATAATGATGGTGATGATTACCTTAGCAGACTTATCAAGGGAGCCCGTCAGGAAATGTGTGCCATCAGCAGATTTGGCGAGTGATGTTACTGTCTTTTTGTGGCCGGATTCCTTGTCCGACTCCTTAAGTAGTTTCCCAGTCTGCAAATAAGCAAGTGAAACATAATGAAGTAATTGCAGTCTGTGGTGATAGTATTAGTGACTGCTGAGTGTTTGCAAAATAATTAAATCTAGGAAATAAGAAAGCAGACCTCCGAATCCCAAATACGAACAATAGAGTCTTCTCCGGCACTGATAATGGTTCTGTTGAGGGGGCCCCATATGGCTCTATTGATTCTTCCCTGAGGGCCCTTAATGACAAGCAAAGATTCCCCAGTCTCTGAATAGAACAAAGAAGCATTGGCATTGGTATTGGCTGTCAGCAAATTTGCAGAGAGATGAGGAAAGATGTTGCTTACGGTCTGCAGGATCTTTTGCAATGCGTTTGACATGGATTGCCGAAGTCAATTCCATGAATGGGTCAGTGGTGATAACTGCAAGCTTATCACCAACGGAGAAGTCAACAGACCTTGCAGGCGAGTCAAAATTGAAAGTAAACAATTGCTGACCACTCTGCACATCCCATAGCTTTGCAGTCTGGTCAGCACTTCCTGTAATGAGTCGTCCCGAATCTCCTGCAACCATCCAACCGTCAATTTAACCTACATTTTACAGCATAAAAATACTATCCACGCATAGAAATTGAAAGGACAAACTTACTAGAGACATCGCAGCACCAAACAGCACCATTATGGCCTCGATAAGTGCCCAGACGTTCACCGTTGTCAGCATACCACACTGTGGGGTTGTGGTCTTTCGCGCAAGAAAACAGAAGATCACCATCCCTGTTGTACTTGAGGAATGTTAATGGCCTTTCGTGGCCTTTCATCAAAATGGGCCTCATGATTCTTCTTGCTTTGTCTCTCTTCTCTCTCGTTGGCTAGTAGCTAGGCTGCAAATTGCAGTTGCAACAATAAGGCAGTTAAAGTTCCTGGTACCACTCATAATCTTACTAGTATTCATGACACCGAAACAAAAAAATCACTAATATTTACAGTCAAAAAATAAACTTTCTACCTTTTCAAAGGAATAAACATTTTTATTACAGAAAATAATTAATGAATTCTATATCCACAATATATTGTTTTTCCTTTGCTAACACCGCACTATTGGTTTTGTGAAACAACATATTAGCTAACACAAGTGGCTGCTACGGATTAAAAACTAAGAAAACTTTTAACAGAAATTTCATATCTTGGTAGGCAACAGTTATTTCTATGTAGAGCTGCTTCTTTTAGAATTTTTGCATTCATACCTCTTACACTCAACACGAAGATGGCTAAAACTTGCAATTAAAAATATTTTATCATTTCTTCTATTCTAAGGTCTCAATACCCGAGTTATCATCATGCCTTGGCTAAAATTTTCTTAGATAAATACATTCCTTAGATCAGATTTAGAGATAACTATTTACTATAACATAGGGAATGTTCAAAACCTAGTCAGGTGTAATTACATTCAGAAATTCCATATTCTCTGTTGTTTAACTTAATCACTCCATATTCTCAATTGCAAATTATAATCAAAATGTGTCGTGTCCGATATGTATTGAGTGTGAGTGCTTCAGAGCTAAAATCTTAATTTCTACACAAGCTTCTATGATTGTATCTAGGGAGATACATTAAGCAATCACACATTTGCACACAGTAAGCAATCTAAACAACCAGTCAGAGACTAGAGCAAAACATAAAACCAAATCGGAACCGCTGTGTATATTCGATCTATGCTCTACTACGACGCGATTATCATTTGTATAGGCAGCGTGCTGGAATCGAACCCTCGCGCACGCACTATTAGAGGGGAAGAAAAATCGTGCTTGGATAAAAAGACGAAGAGGGGAACCTGAACGGACTTTGTGG